AAACTAAGACAGATGGCCATTTTCTTGAATAATGGTTATTTGAAATCTGCAGCTGAGGTTGCCATTGTTGCAAGACCATGTGCATGGAAAAGGAGAGAAGGTTCTTCCATACAGAGAAAAAGCAGGTGTACAGGGAAGCTTAGAACATGATCTCTCTTCTAATCTCTTTGCTAATCTTAAATATTTCAATGTTATATTATTTATATTAGTAGAGTGATGAGACTGTGGGAAGGAGGTCATAAAGAAAGCATGTGGGCAGCCTCTAGGAGATGGATCAAGCAAGAAACTGAATTTTCCTCTAAGGCAGGGTCCTCAACTCCTGGGCAACATCAACTCCTGGGCAACAGACAGGTTACTTGTTATCTGTTAGAAATTGGGCTGCACATCAGCAGGTGAGCAGTGGGAGAGTGAGCGAAGCTTCATCTGCACTTACAGCCACTCCCCCTCACTCATACTACTTCATTCTCACAATGAAATAATAATAGAAATAAAGTGTACAGTGAAAGTAATGTGCTTGAATCATCCTGAAGTCATCTCCATCCCACCCCCACCAGACACACTGTCTTCAACAAAACCGGTCTCTGATGCCAAAAAGACTGGGGAACGCTGCTCTAGAGCCTTCTGGAATGCAGGCCTGCCAACACCTTAATTTTAGCCCAGTGAGATACATTTTAGACTTCTGATCTTCAAAACTGCAAGATAATATACTTGTGTTGCTTCAAGTCACTCGATGTATGGTAACTTGTTACAGAAAGCAGTAACAGGAAACTAATGCAGGTGGGCTAGTAGGAAACTCCTCTACAATATTTAATATACGGTTGCCACAAGGCACCTTGAACTTCCAGAGAATTCTCTGTAGCTTTAAGCAATGGAAATTTGGAACTGAGAGGGACTTTCATGGAGAATTTGAGGGAAAGGACTTGTCTAAGGTTACTTGGCTAATCAGTTGTAAAGGCAGTATAAGAACCCAAGTCTCCTATCTTTCATCTGTGTACATTAACAACTGTAAGATGCCTAACAAAGAGACTGTTATGTAGAAGATACTCAATAAGCCACAGAGTTTGTCTCTGCTGTCATTATTATTATGCATTTTCCTTTGTAATTCACTAGAATGCCATTTTGTGGCCAAATAAGGAAGTACCCTGGAACAACATTTTAAAATCATCAAAAAGTTGGGGGAATGTGAGATGCAAATTCCTGGGTGTAAGATAGGCTTGAGGATGTATTTTAAGGCACAGGGAATATAGCCAATGCTTTGTAATAACTGTAAATGGGAAGTAACCTTTAAAAGCTGTATATGAAAATTCCCTGGCAGTTCAATGGTTAGGATGCCACACTTTCACTGCCAAGGACGAGGGTTCAATCTCTGGTCGGGGAACTAAGATCCTGCAAGCCACTCAGCATGGCCAAAAAAATTAAAATTAAGAAAAAAAACTGTATAAAAATTATATTTAAAGATAAAATAATCAAAAAGCTAACCAAGAAGTGAGTTAGGAATTACCTGACTAAGAAGCAGAAGGGAATAGTGTCTATACATTCACCGTGATTTTGTCCTAGGGGGCATTTTAACTTAATTTTTGTTTCCTTTTTTTTCTTTATTTCTTCTTTTAAAATTTTTAAAAACTTTTAATTTTATATTGGAGTATAACTAGTTAACAATGTTGAGATAGTTTCAGGTGCATGGCAGGAGCAACTCAGCCATATATATATATATATGTATTCATTCTCCCCTGGGGGGCATTTTTAGATTCAAAACAGATGACTGAGAGTTTGAACTCCACTTTTGACAACTAGAAGAACAAAATATGGAGTCTTGGATCTGTCAAAAGTGTAATTCTGGACCCGTCAACAGTGGGTGATTTTCGGGATTTCCCTGGTGTCCAGTGGTTGGGGATCTGCCTTGCAGGCCAGGGGACGAGGGCTTAATCCCTGCTTGAAGAGCTGAGATTCTACGAGCTATGAAGCCACTAAGCCGATGTGCTGCAACTATGTGCGCCAACCTGATGCAGCCAAAGAAATAAATAAATACATATATACATATATTTAAAGTGATGATTTTGGTACACTACGTTTTGGGCTGGTCTTCACAAGGGCAGTACTCTGGGAAGTAAAGGCCAGCCAAACTAAAGCAGTCTTCCTGAGGTCCCCAATCACCTGGGTTAGGGTGATCCTGTTTGTTGCTACTGCACCATTCCTCAAAGAAAATGAAAATTATCTTCCAGTCATGGAAGAAAATCATATACATCTCACATTATTTCTTCAAATGTTTCAATTATGATGCCCAGCTTACATTCAGGTAACAAGACAACATGAGTGAGAATCAGCACAATGAAGAATAAATAACTAGAACAATGAAGCAATAACAGATACAACAAGACTCCAGGTAATGGAATTATCAGAGACCAAAACCGTATACCAGTGATGCCCATTATACACAAAGAGATAAAACCTAAGATTGACAGTTTGAGCAAAAAAAAAAAAAAAAAATTGATGCCATTAAAATGAATCTAAGTTTAAAAAAGAATCAAATAGAAGTTCAAGAACCTAAAATTTAAAAAAAAATTTAAAAACTAAATTACAGTTCAGTTGATGAATTTAACACCATAGGAAGAAAGAATGAGTAACCCGGAAGAAAAGGAAAAAGCTACTCAAAATGAAGCATAAGGAGATAAAGATGTAGAAAATAAAAGACAGAAGGTAAGAGAAATAGTGGATAGAAAAGATCTAACGAATATTTAAGTGGAGTTATATGAGAGAAGAAAGAGTGGGGCAGAAACAATATTAAATAGGTAATATCCGAAAACGTTTCAGAACTCAGGAAAGGCATCATTCAATATATTCAAAAGGCCCAATGAATTGAAGGCATCATAAATAAAAAGAAATACACTTCCAGACATACATAGTAAAAGGGCGGAAAACCAAAGTCTAACAGAAAAAAAATCTCTAAAGCAGCCAAAGGGGAAAAGAACTCCAACGACTCTCAAAATAACAGTCACACTAAGAGCTGGCGTTTCACAGGTAGCAGAAGTCAGAATCTTGAAATGATTTTTCAGCTTACTGAAAGAACAGAAACTACTTTCATCCTCACGGCCTCTTCAGACTCTTGCCTTGCTCTTTCACTTGTAAGGACTCTTGGGATTCCTTTGGGCCACCCCCAGGAAATCCAGAATTCAAGGTTCTTGTTTCAAGGTCCGTAACTTAATCATATCTGCAAAGTCTGTTTTGGAATGTAAGGTAACAGAGTCCCAGATTCTAGGAACTGGGATGTGGACCTCTATGACAGGCCATTATGGTACCTACCACATTACGCGTCTAAAAAGTGCTCTTGCCTTTTATCAGGAGTGGTTCTTTATTCCTATAAAGGCTTTTGGAAAAAGAGGAAATCAAGTGTTTCCAAGAAGCAAAAGTGGATAGGCATTTTTTCATACATTAAACCACTATCAACCTTCAACTTTGATGTGGTAAACATTACCACCCCAATTTTAAAGATTTTCTGAGATTGAACCTGAGAGCGGGTAGGTATCTTGACTGAGGTCATCTAGCTGATAAAGTAACTCACTAGAAATTTGTATCCAGATCACCAAACCCGTCTCTAAAACTTCAACCAAAGTTTTCCACCATTTCAAGTACAGTTATCACTTTTGCTTACCATTGTATGAGTAATTTCTGGGCAGGATGTATCTTATAAACACATTCTAACTTGGTGGGTTTTTAAAAGGATGAAAAAGAATAGGAGGTTTCAAACTGGAGAGACACCTTTGAATTAAAGTGGAGCAGTCCCCAGCTGGGGCTTCCCAGGTGGCTAGTGGTTAAGAATATCCAAGACCCCTAGTGGATGCCTGACACTGCAGTAGTACCCAAACCTAAATATACCAAGTCTTTTTTCTAGACTAACAGGTAGTGTATAAAAGGTGCTAGACAAAAAGATGATTCATTTCCAGGGCTCGTTGGTGTAGGATGGCTAAAGATTTCTTGGATGCTACTCAAAACTACAGCTACTTAAAACTTAGGAACTATTTCTGGAATTTTCCATTGAACATTTTTGGACTGCAGTTGACCCCAGGCAACTGAAACTCTCTTTCAGGACAGACTGCTACATTGGCTGGCAAACGCTTTCTTTATTAACCACGTGACTCCTGTTAAGACACTTAAGATTCTTTAGGCCTCAGTTCCCTTTCTGATCTGTAAAATGAGATGTCCGGACCTAAAGTCATCTTTTCCAGTTCCCTTCCTTCTCTGACATTCTATGAGAGGAGAATGTCCCCTCGTTTGAAGATACCTCTACTTTATAGGGTGGCCCCAACGGGGACCGCATTCAAGTTTGAGGCATTTAAACTATCCCGGGAACAACCAACTGCAGCTCAAAGGAGGTTAAAGATGACGGGCGATGAAAGGGGGGCCGGGGGAGGAGATGAAAGGAGACGATGCAGAAGATCCAGATGGAAAGATAAACGGTATGCAAATGACATAAATAGCATGCAAATAACTCAAGAAAACCATCGACCAGTAACTAGCATTTACAGGGCAGACGGAATTCTGCTGGTCTTTGAGGATGCAGAGGTAAGACATCCTCTGGAGGCGCTCACGGAAAATCTCGCTACACTTTTGGTGTTTCATCTAGATATAAAACTTCCACCTCCCTAAAAGCCCTGGCTGTGAGAAAAGTAAGAAAAACTGAGAAATGAAAATATCGCAAAATGCTTAAGTGTGCCAAAGACAACGTGGAAACTGTCTGGAGACGACTGGGACCACCCCCGCCCCGCCCCCCCAAGCCTCATCCAGACACACAAAAGAAACCGCCAGCGCCCTCCGAGGTGCAGTTTCTCTTCTCCGCCCGCCGAGCAGGCGGCGGCGGAGACCCGCGCCCCCGGCTGCCCCCGCCTCGGCCCTCGGGCCTCGGAAGTGACGCAGCGCGCCCCGCCCCCGCCGCTAGATCCGCTGCTGCTGCCGCGGCGGGCGGACCTGCAGGAGGCGGCGGTGGCGGCCGAGGCCGAGGGAAGATGGCGGACGGTGTGGACCATATAGACATTTACGCGGATGTGGGCGAAGAGTTCAACCAGGTACGTGTGGGTCCGGGCTCACGCCGCCGAAGTGGGCGGCGCTGCGGCCGGGACGCGGACCTCGGGCCCGCTGCGGGCCACGAGCCGGCGCGGCTGCAGACCGTGCGCCCTTGGCGCCTGTGGGCCGCGCCGCCCGATCCCGGCGCGGCGCCCCCCTCGCCCCTCGTTCTACCGCGTCGTTTCGTGGGCGGCGGGTGCCGCCACCCTCCGCGGGGCCCCGAGCGCGGACGCCGGCCTCTGTGCAGCCGCCGCCGGCTCCTCCCTCGCCGCCGCCTCGTTCCCCATTGTTGGTGGAGGCCGGCGGGCGCTTCCCGCCTCGCTAGGCCCGGGCGGCGGGGCGGCGTGTGCGCGGCGGGGAGAACGGGCCGCCCCTGCGCCCCCTCCCCCGCGGCTAGATCGAGGAGGAAGCCCGGCGCGGCGCGCGCCGGGCTTCTCGCCCCTGGCCCTGCCGCTCGGGCTCCGATTTCTTTGGTCGCTCCATTTTGTGTCTCTGTCGGCGCTCGGTCGTCTCATGGAAGGCCGCGTTCACGGCCCTTTGTATCCCGCGCGCCCAGCTTCCTGAGCTCCCCTGCCCGCGTTTGCGACAGGTTTCGGCGTGGCGCTATCCCGCTCCTTCTCTCACTCTTTGGGAAGAAGGCTTCGCTGCGGGCACGTTTGCAACAAGTCCTTTGACTTTCGGACCCATGGATCGTGTTTAAAAAGTCGGTGCAGTGGCCCCCTACCTCGGTGGTCGAGGGCTTGCAGTGCCTCTGAGGCCCAGTCGTTCTAGGTCTTTGTGATGAAAATATCGGTGAAGATCGGTGGCCCGGGCCAAAAGGAAGACTTGGAAGCGCGAGGGTTGGATGGAACAAAAAAGATGGTAGCTCACCAAGAGACGAGATCAGAGTAGTGATTAAAGAATCTCACCCGAAATTCACATGGTGTTAGTTTTAAAATAAAGGGTTATAGCTGTTTGCCGATTTCCGAAAGCAAAATGTTTACTGTTCTCCGAGGGGTTTGGAAAGGCTGGAGAAAGTGAGAATGCAAGGTTTTTCCGGTATCTCACAGGCCACAGTTGCCTAGGACTAGCCGCGGAGCTATGATGTCTGATGTGCATCCTTGCAAAAGGTTGTTACTAGAGCAGTGACGTTTCAGCTGTAAGCAATTCTGGTCACATCTGCTGTCTTTATAAAAAAAAGCAAATTGTGTTTAACTGCATTGTTCCTGATAGCTTTCTTACATTGTCCAGGTCCATGTGAGAAGCTTAGTAAAATTCTGGTTAATGTGTTTTTGTGGGGGTTTTCCCCCCTCCATTAAGGATTTTGTTTGTGCTAGGAGTTAAGGATTTTTTTAAATAGGGAAAACTAGAAATCCGTTTTTTTTTTTTTTTGATGGATGATGGTGCCCTTAAGTTTAAATATTAGAAGAAAAGTTCAATTAGCTTTAAATGTTTTCTACTCTATTAAAAAAGAGAGTATGTTAAAACATAACTCATTGTTATCAAATGTTAAGTTTTAAAATCTTTATTGTGTTGCGCTTAAATTTTTTTTGCTGTGCCTGAGTTGTGTCAGTGATGGTTTAGAAAGTTACCTTGAGTGCTAAACACAGTCGGATTCTAAGGCTTTTTTAAGGTCAGTAAACAAAGACCTCTGGGAAATTTCTTTTCCTTTTATTTATCAAATGAGTTGTAACATTCCCTCTACAGGAGGTCCATATCTGCAAGTAAAAAAAACAAATGTTCAAGGCAGTCTTCATTAGTTCTCTTCCAAGAAAATATATTTCCTTTTGTCTTTCTAGTCACAGTAAAGGAAGAACTGGACTACAATTTTAGAATTGAGCGTCGTTTACAGCCTTTTAATGAAATACTTTTTAGGTTTTTGCATACTTAATTTGGGATGGGCATTTTTCTCATCTGTATAGCTGGATGGAGTGATACTTGCTTATCTCTGTGCACCAGCTAGTGCTGACCGAACAGGAGGTAAGAAGAGATTAGAGTTTGGTAGCCTTGATGAACTGCTTTATAGAGTTCTTTTAAAAATAACTTTTTGTGGATTTTACCTATAGCATTATATTGCACATGTATCTGAATGGTTTTTTGCCTCTAGGATCTTTATACTTTTGAGTCAATTAATGGCATTAAATAGAGGCTATGTTTTTGTTATTATTTTGTGTATCACTGGCCTTTGTAATCTACTGCTTGCTCTGATAATTCCTGTTCACATTATGGCCATAAAAGGATAGTTGATGGTTTTTTAAGGTTCGTTCTTAATTTTTAAAAATGTTACTAGTATTGGAATATTTACCTGAAATTTTTATCAGAATTAGAAGCAACTACAAAATTGTTGTTGGTTGATTTAATTTGCATTCTTATTAGCTAAACTGACTTTATTTTGTTGTAGTCAAGTAGAGTGTTTTGCTAAGTATAACGGGTTTTATTTCGGCTTCTAAACTGCTGTAAACATTTAAAAGATCTCTTCAGTGTGAGCTGTAGTTTTAATTGCATTGAAATTCTTTGTAATATATGTGTTTTTGATTTTTTCTGTTTTAAGTAGTTATACTTGTATGATGTTTATTTCATGTATGTATTTTGGTAAAGAGCAGTGTAAACCTGTCTCAAAAAGTGAGATATTCAACTGTCTTAGAAACTTTATTTTGGAGATGGTGTGAGAAAAAAGTTACTGAAGCCATACTATAGAACAGCTCCTTTCTTCACCAGATGAATTTAGAATGAAGAATAAAATTGGAGAAGGGAATAAGGCACAAGGACCTCAGTTATCCTTTATAGCTGCTCTTTAGTTCTTAAATTGAAGATCTTTGGATGGAACCAAATTGGCAACAGTTGCTCAAGTGGAAGTATTTGGACTCCTTCCAAACCTCTATACTCCTTGGATCTGGAGTTGAAAAGAAAGCTGTTGGTTTCAGTCTCACACTATCAACTGAATTGATAGTGTGTATCAGTTCAGTTTGAACTGGAGTTTGTACTTGAAGGTAGTAATTACTAGCCTCATATTTAATAGTTACAACTTTTATTTTGACCTTAAATAAACTTTTTTTTAACTCAGTTGTTCAGTATACATTTCTTAAGTATTTTATATGCCAACAAGGAAGGATACAAAGTTTAGATAGTGTCTAGACTAAGTGCAGTGTAGTGGGATTATGTAAGAAATATGACACTGACAGGTCATGTGTTACAGAAACCACTCTTTTGTGTCTATCTTTATGTGAAAGATTTTTGTTGGCGGAGGAGAGGAGCTGCTACTTCTGCTGCTGCTAAGTCGCTTCAGTCGTATCCGACTCTGTGCGACCCCATAGACGGCAGCCCACCAGGCTCTGCCGTCCCTGGGATTCTCCAGGCAAGAACACTGGAGTGGGTTGCCATTTCCTTCTCCAAGAGGAGAGGAGAGGGAAGCCAAATTCTGAACTTCAGGAAAGCTTATACTGGGTGCACTGAAGTAGTGTGTATTTTGCTTGTTTGGGGAGCAAAACCCTTCATGTAGAATTTAGTTTTTGATGTACCTGGTAGTACGTCGTTGAGAGCAGTGCTCATTCAGTGATCTGACAATCAAACTTTAAAATGAAAATGTATGTAGGTAGTGGGAAAAAATTCATTCGGAAGTTACAGACTTAGACATCCTTATAAGTGTTCTTGTCTTTTATAATGACTCATAATTTACATTTAGTTATTGTGTATCTACTATAGCCAATGTTTGGCTAATTTTGGAAAATAAGTTTTGTTAGGCAAATATCTGTGACATCTTATTTCTACCAAATTTATCTTGAATAGAGAACCCTCTAAGATAAGGCATGTAAGATGGAAACTGAGGTAGGTAGAGACTGATTCAGAAACTTGGGTAGAAATGTTGAGGGGAGCTGGAACTCTTAATTATTTAATTATTTATAAGTAGTTCATTCTGTTGTTCACTTTGTGGTTTATGTGCCATATTTTTAGTACCAAATTGGCTTCCTTACCATTAGTTGAGCTTTTAACAGGGATTGCAGACTGATTTTAATATCTGCTTGAAATGTAAACAAAATCAGAAAGTGAAATATTTTCTAAAAAGATAGGTATGTATTAGATTATCAGTTTTGTGGATTTTGTGTGTTAGTGTATTCTTTTCCATGGTATAGAAAACATTTTATAAGTGCAAAATTATATTTTGCTTATATTTCTCTAAATGGAATTTTTTTTCCCCCCAATAGAGGAACTTTGAACAAGTGGCCTTTGCTGTGACAATAGTGGTGGTAACATATAATGCAGGAGTGGCATTGATACAGTTTTAGGAACACCAAAAGTAGTGTCGTGCCTGTCAGGAAGAGTATAGGACAGCTACCCCAGTCATCCCAGCGATGTACAGTGTATCTGACATTGAAATCATATGGGAGGTGATGAGCAAAAGTGTGTCCCTCTTCAGAGCAAGGGCATGGTGGTAATGAAAAAACGGTTGAGAAACATTGCTTTTAAGAGGAGCGAATTGAAATTTGGTTATTTTACTATCCGTCTTAATTTGACTGTTGTCTCTGACCTGGCTGCAGCTGCTCTTGTGTCATAAGGAACATGATCTTGAGATGCAGAATCTTGAAAGTCTACCTTGCCTTTAAAATAATTATCGTAATTAAATGTAGGGAATGAAATAGTGGATTTTTTTTTTAAACAAACCCTAAGAGCTGTTGCCTACTGGAAGTTATATATATTGTATAGTTCTATTGGTTATTAGTTGCTATGAACGAATAGGGCAATATTTGGTAATCTAAAATAATTAGAGGGGTAATATTGATTATTTTTTGTTTTTGAGTACCATTAAAATTTCCCAGTGGTAATAATTGAAAAGACTGCATGTAGAACTTCACACTGTTGACTCTTTTTCTTTGACAAAGTCTGTCCAGTAGACTTTCAGAGCTCACCTTCTTTATATGTGCTCTGTGATATTGTTGTTGTTTAGTCCCTAAGTCGTGCCCAACTCTTTTGGGACCCCATGGACCGTAGCCTCTGTCTACGGAGGACAGGCTCCTCTGCCCATGGAATTCTCCAGGCAAGAATACTGGAGTGGGTTGCCATTTCCTTCTGGGGATCTTCCTGACCCAGGGATTGAACGTGGCAGGTTCTTCACCACTGAGCCGCCAGGGAAGCCGTGACTTGTGATACTCATTTTACATAATTTTAGAATGTGTATGATTTTCCCCCTTTTAGAATGGGAACAGAAAGTAGGATGTGTTCTGTATATAATTATTTTTTTAATCTGGAGGGTAGGTGTGATATGGTGAAGCTGAATAGGAAGGTTACTGATACTACAGAAGAGTGTGTATTTTGAGTTGTCTCTTAGTAATGGTGGTAATGTATTCAGATTCATTAATATTTTTTCACCAAGTCCAAATGCATACCATGGGGCTAAAAGTACAGGCTGTGGCCTTGGAACTGAGCAAAGCTAACTAGTCTACTTGGAGATCAAACCCCAGGACTGTGGTCTCAATTAGCATCATATTTCAATCAGTTGGAAGCAGTCCAACTACCAGACCAAGTGACTGATCGTAAATATTGGCAGAATCATATCAGTATTGAAAATTGGTTGTTGTCAACATAGGAATTCGTGGATGGACAAAAATAGTAAGTTGTGATTCATCAGGTTAGTGTAGCTGCAGTTATATTATGCCTGTAAATTATTGTTTACTTATGTGAACATTTTCCTAGATTTATAACTAGTGAAAAATCAAATATTTCATGAAAATATAAATTGAAATACTTTTAGTGCTGCTATTAATAACCCTTGCATTCTGTTTTACTCTCCTTCAAACCATATATTGTGATTATAGTCTGCTCAGGAGGATGGGAACAACTCCTTTTGAATAATAGTAACAATAATTGTACTTGATGTACAAAACTGGATTGCAAAAAATTTCGAAGTGCCCACTGCCCCTTGCGGGACACTTGTTGGTATCTTAAGTTTGTGGAATCACTGCTGCAGCCATGCCGCCTGAAGCTTTAGCTACACTGAAACTTCTTAACAAAACTCACCCTTCTTTTTTCTAATTTTTACTGTCACTGCAGTTTGATCGTGTTCCTTGGTTTCAAAAAACTCAGTTCTCAAAGGTTATTTTGGTATTGCTGTGGAAACAAAATTATGGCATTATTCAGTGATTTGTGGTCTTAGTTTCTGCCCATTGCTAAAGAGGTCTTTCTTTTCTGACTTACCTTAAGATCTTGTCTGTTATTAAATAAGTTACATACATTCAGCCTCATAACAATATTGTTATGTAGAGATTCTGTTGCATAATCAGCAAATTGAATAACTTCATTATGCAGAAGATTACCTGAAACGCTATATAAGTGGTATTTCCCCTTCTAGATTTTTTTTTTTCTTTTTCTGTTTCTTTTTAAAAAAATCTTTTTCTGGCTTCCTTCTGAATAGCAAAACAAGAGCCATGTTTCCTTGGGACTCTTATTATAACAGTGTTTTGTTGATCTGTTCATAGTCATATTACTAATGCCTTTTCAGTGTCATTCTTTATCCCTAAAATGGTTAATACCTAAAACTATTAGCTTCTCCTTACCTGCCATTTGTATTCATTCTTACTGAGTTGTATTGATGGAGAAGATAGGAATTATACTCGTTTTCTAAGTGTAATTGCCGCTCTCATTACTTCGACAGAGGAGCCTGGTGGGCTGCAGTTGGTGGGGTTGCAAGGAGTCGGACAGGACTGAGTGACTTCACTTTCACTTTTCAGAATGAAATGGTTCACATCCATTTAGGTACTTTGTGGTGGCAAGGAAGATAAAAATAGAGCTTGCCCTCTGCTACTGGCTAGTCAAGCCAATGGCCCAGTAACTGTTACCGAAGGCTGTAAATAATGCTCAGTGTCTGCCAGTACCTGCATTTCACTTTTCTTATGCTTGTTTACAGGTTGAACTCTTATTTTTCTGTTTTTCTCCTGTTCACATATTTGCTTATTTTTCATTTTCCTCTTACTTGCATATCACTTAGGCATGTAAGTGACATCTACTAGCCTTGTTTTAATTCTGCTGGTGACACTTGAAGGCAGAACTTTACTAGATTCTTCCTTGTTCATGTCCCTTTTCTCTTGACCATGTAGATATGTTTTGCTAATTGACTATATATCTAAGAAGTCAGGTAAGCATTAACTCTTTGTTGACTGAGAATAATAAAACTATTAATAATACTAATTTAGATAGTTTAACCTGTACTTTGTTTCTCTTTCCCCTGTTCATTTGTTGTGACATATAGAATCATTTACATAGCCACATTTCTTTATCCCTTTCCTGTGGCTTAGCTTTCTATGATTTTTCTAAAACGGCTTCCACAGAATTGAGAAGCATGATCCTGAATACTATAGAAAATAATAGTTGTAATTTTCTGCAGTTAAAAATATTAAAGATTCATAATGGCTCTGATTTTTGTTTGTGATATTTTTGTATCAAAAATTTGTCGTCAGTGTTGCTACTTTTAGAGTATTTTGCTTCCATGAAAAGTTTATTGTTTTATTTTGTCTACATGTTATTCTGTTCCTAGAGGAACATTAGTTCCTATAATAAGTATCAGTGGGGAAATAGAATTCATTGTGTAGAAATTCACTTTATAGGCACTGTTCAAGAAGTGGCAGAGCGCAAGGTTTGTACTGAGATCTTTGACCTGTGTCTTCTACCAAATTTTTGAAAGAAAATAATTGAATAAATTTGCATTCAAATCTGTTTTAGAAGTCATCTGACTATTGTATAATCTAGAACATTATTTCTGTATCTCAGGAAGCTGAATATGGTGGGCATGATCAGATAGATTTGTATGATGATGTCATCTCTCCATCTGCAAATAATGGAGATGCCCCAGAAGATCGGGATTACATGGATACTCTCCCACCAACTGTTGGTGATGATGTGGGTAAAGGAGCAGCACCAAATGTTGTCTATACATATACGGGAAAGAGAATTGCATTGTATATTGGGAATCTAACATGGGTAAGTGACTTGATTTGAATTAAATCCTTGGTGATTGATTTAACTATTCCAGTAGTTAATTTTTTTCTCCAGTTTTATAAAATAAGAATTTCAAGTTTTTAAATTGGTTCTGCATGCTTTCTTATGCATGGGGTGGGGAACACGACATACATGCACCTTTTAAATATAGTAAGTACCAGAATCTTCTAGTTCTGAATTTTGTAGACATTCAACTTGTTGTGGTAGATATTCCAGTTAAGTGTAGTTCAGTTATTTTATCTTTTCCTACTCCTACACTTCAGCTATCCCCGTTTACAAAGGAAAATGCTCACATAAAGTCTCAAACCAGGATTCAGAAATGTAGGAGAGAAAGATACACAATATGATTCTTGTTTTTAAGAGTTTTCATTATCCAAATCATAGTTACAGACATGCTGAGTTTCATTTTTGCTCTTAAATTTGAAATCTGATTTACAGAAATACTGCTGTTATATATTGCATTTTAATTTGGTTTATGAGACTGTAGGTTTATTGATTGGAGTTTCATTAGCTGAATGTTTAGTATTATTATTATCTGTGTTTTATTAGAATTGAATCTTAAATATTTACTAAAATAGTCCTGTAGAGTTTTTGCATCTCTATTTAGAAACATTTATTACACATAGTTGAAAATTTAAAAATTGCCTAGAAATGAGTTGTTACTGTATATTTCCTTAATAGTATTTTTAAATGTTTACATATATAAAAAACTGGCCAATCTCCCATCATTTGAGCAATTTTTATAATGTTGGAGACAGTAGCATTGTAGATATAGAGTGTGGTTGCTAAGTAAGGCTGAGTCTTGGCTCCTATATATGTTTTATAGTCTTGGACAACTTCTTTAACCTCTCTATTGCATAGAGTGTAAAATAGGAATTATATGTAAAATGGGACTTCTATGTTTAGAGAATTAAATATTTGATAAAAGGGTATGGTAGGCACTAAATACATGTTAGGATTTTGTTTTGTATACTTTGAAACATAAGGTGGAGTTTGTTTCCCCAAATAATTTCTCTTAAGAAAAAAAAGCGGCAGGTGAGATTGGTTTACTGAAAATTTAAAGTCATAGCAGTTGAAAGCTGGAAGAGACCAAAAACACATTAAGGGTTTTTTTTTTGTTATTTTTTTAAAATTCTGTGTTCTCTCTGGGAGTATGTACCTTCTATTTCCAAAACTCTTATCAACGAACGAAATTATGTCTTCAGGTACTTTTGTTCTATTTAAAAATTGGAGACTGACTGGCAGTAATTGTACATAGTTTGCGCTAAGGATTAATTTTCTCTTGTTTATCCTGAGTTTACCCTTACAAACTAAGTTGAAACAATAAAAATCTTAGATACGTTTTGATGGTTAATGAGGGGGAAATATCTTGCAGTGGACAACAGATGAAGACTTAACTGAAGCAGTTCATTCTTTGGGAGTAAATGATATTTTGGAGATAAAGTTTTTTGAAAATCGGGCAAATGGCCAGTCAAAGGGGTAAGAATTTCGTTTTAATTCTTTTTTTTTTTCACCCAATGGGATTTAGTAGCTAGCAATTACAGTTTTAGGGGTGACTACTTGAAGTTAAAACTTATCTACATATGTGTAGGATGTTTCTTTTCTACACTGACAGGAGGTTCTTGGGCAAAGATTCATTCTCATTTAATGTATCCTGTGATCTACCCACCTAAAACTAGTGGAGCTGGGAGATTAGGTCTCTTTTCCAATTTTCCTGCACTTTCTCCATTATGGTTGAACAATGACAGTTTGAAGAAGCATTACTATCCCCGTGGTTAAGAGGTATTGGAATATGGGCAACTGAAGAATAATGTAGCATGGATGTTTTACATTATTTTTTTAACTGTTAAACTACACAGATGAGGTAGGATCATTATAAAATACAGATGTCCAAAAGTAAGACAGTAAAAATATATAATGTCATCATCTGTAGGTGATTACTCTTGTCATTTTAGTGAATATACTTTCATGTATTTTCCTAGTGCTTATATTTTTATTGCAAAAACAATAGGATTGCAATTTATGTTTTATAGTGTGTTTGAAACAGTAAAAAAAATTAACAATAAATATACATCTTCTCTAATGTATTAGTTCTTTCCATCATACTTTGCTACTGTAATTTATTTTACCGTTCTTATTTTTGGTTCTTTGAGTTTTCAGTTTTTGTCTATTATAAATAATGCTTTATTTAAATCTGGCATAGATTTTGGATTTTCTGAGAGGTAATTTGCTAACTACAGAATGATATCCAGTGTGTAGTAACTAGGAGTGTTTTCAAACACGTGCAGAGTCTGGCTGCTTTTCATGAACTTCACGTCTACTGCCTGTCCTTGCCACTGTTCCCTCATTGAACAGTAGCGTCCTGCCTGGTGTACCTGCCTTCACGCTGACTCTCTACAGTCTATACAGACACATAGCAGAACTTGAAAAAAAGTGACATCAGTATTGGTCTCCTCAGAATGTTCTTTTGGTTATCCATTTTATTCAGAGTAAAACCCAGAGTCTTCACTGTGGTCTGTGAGGCACTGAGACCTGTTTACGCACTACATCTCTGACCTCATCTCCTACTACTGTTTACTTCGCTATGCTGCTTCAGCTGCATTAATTAGTCCGCTGTTCCTCAGACACACTTCTACTTAAGACCTTTCCATTGTTTCTTCTGTTTGGTTTACTTTTCCCCAAAATCCCACCTTTGGGATCTTTCACTTCATTCAGGACTCTGCCTGAGTTCCCCTTCTCTGGCCACACTGTGTAAGATCTTCGGCTGTCATCAGTGTGTTCCCCCCCCTCCCCCGCCCCCGGTTTTCTTACATTGTATGTTATTCATTTATCTTGTCTCCTACTGTATTTAGATTGTAAGTTCCAAAACAGCTTTGTTCACTATTGTATTCCCTAACCCTAGAATGGGGCCTGGCATATAGGAAGTGGTGCTCAATAAACGTTTCTTAAATTAGTGAATTAATTAAATTGTTTCTAAATGTTGTGACCCAAGGTAATCTTGAATCAAACAGCAGAATTTGTTGACCAGGATCTAATTAAAGGACCATTTTGAATACTAGGGAGTAAAGGCTCCTAAGAGGCCTTCTGAGAATAATTTAGAATATTGTATAACTTTATGAATTGACAATCATTCATTTTTTTCTGTTCTAAATTTATTTTTTCTAGTGAGATACAATTCACATACTATAAAATTCATCCTTTTAAAGCATTCAGATTAGTGGACTTTATTTATAAAGTTGTACAACCATTTTTATTGTCTATTTCCAGAATGTTTTGATCACCCCCAAAAGAAATCCTGCATCTGTTAGCAACTGTCTTTGTGGATTTGCCTGTTCTGAAATGATATCATAAAGAATGTGGTCCCATGTGTCTAGCTTCTTGCTCTTAGCATATTTTCAGGTCTCATCATGTAACATGTGTCAGTACTTATTTTTTTAAAATATTAATATTCCACTAAATATTACACTATGTGGATGCACCACATTTAAAATCTCAAAAATTTATAAATTCTGAAAATTTCATCCATCCTTTGGTGGACATTTAGGTTGTTCCCATCTTTGCTGCTATGAAAAAGGCCCCTGTGAATGTTCATATATGAGTTTTAGCAGCGTTTTTTTTTAAGGAAATTGTTTCTTTTATCTAAATAGATTACACTGTAGTTCCCATATGATTTGCAACTGTTTCAAAGCCACCCTTTCATATAGACAGGAAAATCTTTAGTGAAAGAAGTTGAATTTATCAACATTTATAAAAATCTCTAATTTTGTTCTTAAGAATACTCCTCCTCTATATTCATGTACCAGTTTGTATGAACATAATATTTTCAGTCAGTTCTGTTAGGTACATGGGTACATTCAGGAGTTGTGTTTTGTTTTTTTTCTGCCATAAGGCTTGTAGGATTTCAGTTCCCTGACCAGGGATTGAACCTGGGCCATGGCTCTGAAAGCCCCAACTCCTAACCACTAGACCACCAGAGAATTCCCAGGAGATTTATTGGATGATATTTTAACCCTAATATATATATTAGGGCTAATATATTTAACCGTTTAAGAAGCTGCTGGGATATCTGTCAAAGTGTCTGTACCATTATATATTTTTTTCATCAAGCAGTGTATGAGGGTTCTAGTTTATCCCACATCCTCACCATCACTTGTTAATTGTCTTTTTGATTAGTGTGTGAAGTGGTATCATTACGATTTTGGTTTACATTTTGCTGTTGGCTAATGATATTGAGCATCTTTTTATGGAGATGTTATTCGTAGTAATTAAAAAGTGGAAACAGCCCAAATGCCTGTCGGTTGGTGATTTTGAGGAAATGTGGTATCTCTCTATAATGAAGTATTACTCAGTCATGAAAAGGAATTAATCACTGACACATACTTTAACATGCATTAAACCTCGAAAACATCATGCTAAGTGAAAAAAGCTAGTCCCCATGAAGGACCATACACTGTATGATTCACATTTAATAAAATGTCCAGAATAGGCAAATCTGCAGATTTAGGGTTGGAGGATGGGAGGAAATGGAGTGACAGCTAACAATTATGGGGTTTTTTTTTTGAGTGATGAAAATGTTCTTAAAATTGATGTGGTTATGATGGTAAAACTCTGAGTATGCTAAACAAAGAAAGCATTGAATTCTGTACACTGAGTAATATGATGTGTTATTATAAAAAAAGTTAAAGATGAAAGTGTGACCATTGTATTCTAAGAAATATTTTGTTTGTTTGGTAGGTAAAATTAAATTCAGACCATTTCATTTTTAATAACAGCAATAACAGTTAATCCCTCCTCACTTTCTACCCACATCCCTTTAAACACCTTCTAGGTTTGCCCTTGTTGGTGTTGGATCTGAAGCATCCTCAAAAAAGTTAATGGATTTGTTGCCTAAGAGAGAGCTTCATGGTCAGAATCCTGTTGTAACTCCATGCAATAAACAGTTCCTGAGTCAATTTGAAATGCAGTCCAGGAAAAGTAAGCACCCCCTCAGAGGCTTTTATTAAAAGATGTGCATTTTAACCAGTCTTGTTAGCATTTGTTATGTGTTGTATTGGAGAAGTCATCTTAATATTTATATTTAGTTCATTGGAGAATCCGTTTTAGAAAATCCATGCTTTGAGTTTGATTTAAATTACTGATTATGACTGGTTCCGTGTACTGGAAACCTATTCCCATTTTTCTCTAAATGTTACAGACCCAACATTACACAACAGTGTGCAAGTTTTATAGCCCTGCCATTCTTATCCTGTCATTCCCATCCTAAAGAAAGGAAGAAACTACATTCTAATCCTTAGGTTGAAGGAAAGTTATGTGGATGTCTGTTATGGTGGGGGAGAAACTACTGATAACCAGAAAGTATTCGTTGATTTTCTGCTTGGCACCAAGACCTATCACCACTTGGTAAAGTGACTATAGAAAAGATTTGCCATTATATACTTAAGAATGTTATCACTTAAAGAGATAAATGGATGATTATGTAATTAATAGAAATTTGAGTGGTTGTTTTTCTTAATGTTCTAGCACTTAAAACTTAACTGATGAATGTTAAAGACTTTGAATGATTTATACTTACTGAAATTTAGATTTCTGTTAGAGAATTTTGGTCTTGGCTGCTGCAGAATACTGGTATTTTGAAAGTAACTCCTTATTTGTTTACCAGAAATACATTTAAGTGTAGATCTTTTGAGACTTCAAAAGAATTTAAATAGATGTGAATGTTTTCCTAAATGGGTACTTCTCATGTAGTTGGGACTGGCCCAAGGCATCTGGAAGTTAGTAAGCAGTATACATAAACTTTGATTTAGAGTTGTTTCTAATATCTAACAGTGGTTACATATCAGAGAACTATTTTAATAAATGCTATTTATGAGTATTTGGATGTTTGCAGCTACACAATCAGGACAGATGTCTGGGGAAGGTAAAGCTGGTCCTCCGGGAGGCAGTTCACGTGCAGCATTCCCACAAGGTGGTAGAGGACGGGGCCGTTTCCCAGGGGCTGTTCCCGGTGGGGACAGATTTCCTGGGCCAGCAGGACCAGGAGGGCCACCTCCACCTTTTCCAGGTAAAGTTTTTCTTAAATCGCCATGGATAAAATGTGTCTACCTAATACCTCTTTTCCTTTTCTCTCTTTTTCAAGTAATGCATTATTAATGTGACTTACTCTCCTTGTTATGCTATTTTTGGAATCCAGGAAATTTGATCAAGCATCTTGTTAAAGGAACTCGGCCTTTGTTCCTGGAAACTAGGATTCCATGGCATATGGGGCACAGCATAGAGGAATTACCCATTTTTGGCCTAAAAGGTCTTTATTTTTCTCCAAACTTGCTTGACTTATATATAGAATATTTACATCCGTCTTATTTTCTTACCTCTTAAAAAATCCTTTCAAGACCATTTTTCCTTGTTTCACTTTCTAGCTTGACATCAGAGTAGACTATAAGGTGGGTGATTTCACTGTAAGAAGTGTGTGTATGCTGAAAGATGGAAACTATCTCTAAGCATTGTAATCTGTTAAAGTTTTTGTCTCAGTAGTTTTTCTTAAGCATTAAATTGAGCTAGTTAAATGTGTAAGGATATACTTCACCTTTGTAACTTGTTAGTGTAGCATTTACCATATGGGTTTCATTTAAAGAGAAAGAGTCTTGGTCTTTGAGTTATGCTTTAAAAGTATAATTGTGGCATGAAGATTAAAACACCTTATTGAAGTGTTTTTCTTTTTTTTTTCTCTCTCTTTCTCTCCCCTTTATTCTGTAGCTGGACAGACACCACCACGTCCACCCTTAGGTCCTCCAGGCCCGCCCGGTCCACCAGGCCCTCCACCTCCTGGTCAGGTTCTGCCGCCTCCTTTAGCTGGGCCTCCTAATCGAGGCGATCGCCCTCCTCCACCAGTCCTGTTTCCTGGACAGCCTTTTGGGCAGCCTCCGCTGGGCCCGCTTCCTCCCGGCCCTCCGCCTCCAGTTCCAGGCTACGGCCCCCCTCCTGGTCCACCACCTCCACAACAGGGACCACCTCCGCCTCCAGGCCCCTTTCCACCTCGCCCACCTGGCCCTCTTGGGCCACCCCTTACACTCGCTCCTCCTCCGCATCTTCCTGGACCACCTCCAGGGGCCCCGCCGCCAGCTCCACATGTGAACCCAGCTTTCTTTCCTCCACCAACTAATAGCGGCATGCCTACATCAGATAGCCGAGGCCCACCACCAACAGATCCATATGGCCGGCCTCCACCATATGATAGGGGTGACTATGGGCCTCCTGGGAGGTAAGTTAGTATGCATGGGTAAAAGTAGACTTGGTATAGTTGATCTGCAAAAGCTATTTTTCACTCTTGTCTGTGAAGTTTTTAAAAATTAGGAGCTTTCCCCAGATATAGTTTTCTGTATGTTTTCTCTTACAAGAAGCAGTATGATACGGTGAAAAACCTACTGAACAGGGTTGGGAATAATCCAGCTCTACCACTTACACAGCCTTGTGATCTTAGGGCAAGTCACTTTATTTCCATCATTTTTAAGTTAAAAGAGGTTGATAAAGATACTGAAGCAAGCTAGTGGGATCCTCAAGCTACTTTTAAAATTTTAAAGTCAATATCATCTACCATTGATGACACTACATAGAAAGCTAAAGTTTCTTCGTTGTTTTAGAAGTTAGGTCAGTTTATTAAATAGTATCTCATGCTTATCAGGAGTCCTGTGTAGCAAAATCACTAACTTTCAATTAAAGCGGGACCATTAAATAATTTATAAGCATCTTTGGGTAGACAGAGACTTGTGAAACACAGGCTTCATGGGAATTACAGTAGTTAACGGCAGTCCTTAGAGGGGAGCTGCATGGAAACTAAAGCACTTCTAAAGCCATGCGCGCTCAAATCGCAGTCTGGAGCGCTGCGCTAATCTGTAAGAACTCCTCGAATTGGTCCCCTTCGGGCTTTGCTGAGCGTATTGTTTGATCTTGTGTCCTGTAACTGCTCCCGTTGGGTTGCTCTGTGTTTCAGTTTGTCTGCCCGTGTCCTGCAGGGATGCGTTTGAGCATCTGCCTAGTTTCACACAAGTGTGCAGGGCCAGGGGAATAAATTTGACCTTGTAGATAGTCTTCTGACAGTTATCTATCCATAGACATTGTATCTTTTTGAGTGCCTGAAATACTTTGTTTTCTTTTGAGAAATGTTACATCTAGGAAGGTAGCACAATTTTTCTTCTCTTCAACTTAATTCCAGTGAGCAAGTCTATTAAGTGTTCATTGTATGGGGGTGGGTTAGGTGGCTTGGTTTGATAAGTTTAGAGTTTGAATTGCATGTCTTTTTTCTAACATAATTGAATTTCTGTAGTGTCAGTTTTTCTAAAAATATTTGTGTGTATGTATTTGGTTATTATTGAGTAATTTTAATTGGAAGTGAGAGAAAACTCTTACTTTTTTTTTTTTTAAAGAAATAGGATGGGTATGAGTCACAGAATTTGTCTGATATCATACATGAATGTTAAAAAACTTGTAATTTGGTTAGACTGTTTATAAAGTTTTGAGAATAACAATAATACCTTATGAACATGCAGAAGGTTGTGTTAGCTTTTCCGCATCTCATCTGAATGAACTGCTTCTGCTTGCCTCGATTCAACATCCTACCTAGTAACTAATAACTAAGATGGCAAAACGTTTACCTTTTCTGTACTACACACATAGTCACAATTTTTTAAGTTGTCCAGCAGCTTTAGAAAATCTTGGGATTTTGTTAGGTTTTTTTTTTCCAGTAAATATTTGTAGGTACTGAGGATCTTTTATTTGCCAGATATCCTGGGGATTCAGTGGGGCATACAAGATAGGTCTAAGATCTTGTCCCTCCTGGAATGTTATTAGTTAGAGATTTATTATTCTTCTGTTGTGAGTTGGGCTCTGCGCCTAAAGGATCCAAATATAAATGAAACCAGATTTTGGCCCTGGCTTGTGTAGGGTTGTATTTTTTGCAGTCAGCATGTTTTGCTTACATAATACATACATATATAGAGAGACATCAAAACAATTTTTCACATGTTTTTGTATGACTGAAAAAATATTTTATTGCATTTTATGTAGATATAGCATTTCTGACCTCCAGAAAGATAAGGTTTTTAAGTTGCTAGTTTATTTCAGTTGAAAGATAATGGTACAAGGGAGTTTTGCATACACCTGCTCTGTTTGTATGAAAAATAGCATATTTCAATATGAGAAAATAACTATTAGCTCTGAGGCACTTGTCAAAAGCAGTTGTTTGAATTGCATTACACTATTATGACTAATTTAGAAAATCTTTTGAGTATGATTGAAGGTTTATTTTGATTTTATAGGGAGATGGATACTGCAAGAACGCCATTGAGTGAAGCTGAGTTTGAAGAAATCATGAATAGAAATAGGGCAATCTCAAGCAGTGCTATTTCAAGAGCTGTGTCTGATGCCAGCGCTGGTTTGTATATTTCTTTCTGTATTAATATTTCTTATTTATGTTATTAGGAGTGACGTAAAACTTTTAAAAAGTGATTTTAGTTTTGGCAGTGGGCAGGGTGTCCCTGGTTGCAGCAGGCAGGGGCGACTCTCGGTGCGGTGCACCGGCTCATCATTGCGGTGGCCTCTCTTCTGCAGAGCACAAGCTCTAGGCACGCAGGCTTTGGCGGTTGCAGCACCCTGGGTCGGTAATTGTGGCGTGTGGGTTTAGTGCTCCGAGGCATGTGGGACCCTCCTGGACCAGTGGTCGAACCTGTGTCCCCCGCATTGGCAGGCGGACTCTTTTCCACTGTACCACCAGGGAAGTCTAGGCATGACCTAAAGAAGATGGGTCATCTACATGTAGTATATTTCCCAGTCATTACCTATCTTTTAGTTAAAAGGCATTGAAGGGAACTGTATGTCACAGTGTAGTGAAATACCCTTAATTTAAACATTTTAGGTATAAATTTAAGTATTAGCCCTGACATTTAATGGCTCAGGGGCCTTAAGGCAGCTCGTTTATTCCCATATTTACTAAATGATCACGTGTTATTGCTATAACAATAACAAACTTCATGTACATTACCCAAATGATGAAACTGAAAAAATGAAGACGTCATCTATAATTATTTTAAAGTGCATTGCTTTTTTAAAATGGTCGCCTCAAATGGTTAGGTGATATTTTTGAAAATAAAATTTGTTTGACTTAAACCTCTCTCCTTCCACCCACAGGTGATTATGGGAGTGCTATTGAGACATTGGTAACAGCAATTTCTTTAATTAAACAATCCAAAGTATCTGCTGATGATCGTTGCAAAGTTCTTATTAGCTCTTTGCAAGATTGCCTTCATGGAATTGAATCCAAGTCTTATGGTTCTGGATCAAGGTAAAACTTTCCTGTCTCATGTCTATTTAAAATTGCGGCTTTGCAAATAGAAATGTGTTTGGGACTCTATAGGACTTTGATTTTACTTATTACTGTTTATTTCACAGCTAATGTGATTTTGTTGTTGTTTAATAAATGTCAGGTGTTTGCTTGCTTAAAATCCCTCAAAGGCTTTCAGTTATTCTTATAATTCTTATTCTTAGAATAAATGTAATAATGCAAATATAAACATTGTAAACAGTATGATACAGTTTGCCTCATTGTGTACTTCTCTTGCTCACTATTCTCTATCAATATTGGTTTCCCTTTTCTTTCTCTTGACATATCAAACTCTTGTTTCTGTATTAACACTTTGTATTTCTTCTACTGGGAGCCTTTTTCCTTGGCTCTTCACATAGCTGTTCCTTGTTCTTTTCTCAATTCAATCTTTCTAGGAGGGGGTCTTCTCCCAGGTTATTCTGATTATTCTGTTTATTTCTTTAATAATTCTTCCTGCAATCTGTTCTTTCTTATTGTTAAGTATTGTTACTTATTGTTCTTACTTATTTCTTTTCACTAGAACACATTGAAAAATGGGAGGGGTCTTATTTACCTGTCTTGTCCATTACTGTGTTTGTAATGATGTAGAGAATGGGTGCTAAATAAGTATTTCTTGAACAAGGGAGTTTATGATGTATTTCTTAGGGTTTTTTTTAAAATTAGGCAATTCTTTTTTTGGTTGAAATTTTACATATTTTAGAAAAGTAAAGCTTAATCTTGACATGATACTTTTAGGTCTTTGGTGTACTTACCAGGTGGTAGAATCGTCTTCATTAAGCTAGGAAAAGGAGCTTGTCTTTGTCGTGGTCCCCTTTATAATTACTACTTTTGTGACCCAGTTTAAGGATCTTTGGATCTCAACAAATTTTCACAGCTAAAGACTGTATCTTACATAGTCTTTTAACTTTTTAAGTCCAGAATAACTTCTGCCTTGATCACAAGCTTAACACTTAATAATGATTGCTAAAAAAGAAAAATGTTTGCTAAGTTGAGCTGTCCGGTGCAGAAATACAAAATAGAGATTAAACTAATCAGCAGTTATTTCCTAATTGTGAATTTCAGAACTTAGATTAGTAGGGTTTCTAAGATATATACTTTGGTTAAAGTACCTGTATTTTGTTTGTTTCTAAAGGAAGTTCATGCAGCGTTTCTCTTTATTAAATAACAATGTGAATAATTGCTCAATCTTGTCTAGTGGTCGTGTTTACTAAGTTTCTTCTTTGCTTGCCACTATGCTTCTCAGCACTACCATCCTCCAAGCATACATATGTGTATATTTCTTCAGTAAGTTTCTTAGAGGGTAGCACTTACGATGAACCATATTTTGGCTAGTTATAAATGTAAGATTGATACTTACATATATGTTTAGGTAACCTACAGTAATGGGTTATAAGTTTAAGTATTTAAGTCTCATCGTGTATTGAGTGATAATCATGAATTTTACTTCTAAAAAACTACTTTTCTATATATTTCGTTTGGTTAAAACGCAAGTCCTATGAGATTTTCTCTACTTTACCTTTCCACTTTTCATTCAGTAAATATCGCATGTCTCTTTTAGGCTTCTGGTTGTAATAGATGATATATGATGTATTGCCATGGTGTGTCTGCTTCCCAATTTTTAGGTGAATGTTTTTTAAAATGGGATTTCTAGTTCATGCTTGTTGCTGAGTTGGTAAATCATTATTGTCTGTTCAGGATATTTTAGTCTAAACTATATTTGTAAGTTATTTTTTTGCCTTGGATATTTTTAAACATCAAAATATTAAATTTTAAAGCTAATTATGGAGAGCATTAATCCAGTAATTTCTTTTAGAAGACGTGAACGATCAAGAGAAAGGGATCATAGTAGATCACGAGAAAAGAGTCGGCGCCATAAATCCCGCAGTAGAGATCGTCATGATGATTATTACAGAGAGAGAAGCCGGGAGCGAGAGAGACACCGGGACCGGGACAGGGACCGGGACCGAGAGCGCGACCGTGAGCGCGAGTATCGTCATCGTTAGCAGGTGGGTGTTCCTTGTCCTGTTGCTTCCAGCATGCCTGTCATTCATAGTGATTATAACTCTAAGGCTATTGTTTATGCAGTATATACCCACATTTTATACCATCCAACTACTTGTTCTGAATTTAATCTTCTGGAATCATCTGAGGTAAATGACAGGTGAGTAATGACAGGTAAACATTTTGACCTCTTATCCTTAAATGCTGCTTGCTTGAGTTACAGCTTTTAGGTTTCAGACTGTTAATGATCCTAAGAAAGCAAGAAAATAATCAAGAGGACTCATTGTCTACTTCTAAAATCTAAAAATTGGAATTCTCTTAATCACATACATAGTTTGCATGTTATTTAAAATATAAAATATGAGTTAATTCTTACTGTAACATGCTTGGACTTCAAAAAATAAATTTTAAGTTTCTCTTCTTGAACTAACTAACTATCCCTAAAAATTTGAAAGACAATCTGACACTTGTTGCTAGTTGGAAGGTGGTTTGTTAGCATTGAGAAAAAAATTTTTTTTTTTTAAGAAAAGACACTTTTCCTGCCATCTGGGCTTTGTTTTTAAAAGAAAAGGAACAGTATTCTTTGATTTGCAAAGAAGAAAGTTACTCAGTTAAAATGAATTCAAGGTATTCCATATAGAGAATTTTAAGTTGTATCAAATCATACATCTCAGGTTAGAATAACCTTGAAGTAATTTTCTTTGATGTTTCATTCATAAACCATAATCATTGTGTCTTTTTTTTTCTGTATTTTAAAACTATTGTGTACATTTTTCATTAAGCGGGAAGAGTTGTCTGTTTATACTTCATTTTCACGTGTAATTTTATTTTTATATTTGTGAACAGCATTTATTCATGTGAAGAGTGGGAAGAGGGCACTATAAGGCTTGTGCATGTGACACAGAAGTTATTCTGTAAACAGATTTTTTTTTCTTCATAGGTTGGTGGCATATCCAAATTAAATTAGACTGAAACCAATCCCTTATAGGTTACTACTCTTTACATGACTATTTTCCGTAACTAAAATTGGGAAATACTGAAAATTCAGTAATTGGTAGTGTTTAAATTGTAATGGGCAAAACCAAAGACTTGTATGTAATTCTATGACAGAATAGCAGTTTCTTTAAGTAAAGTAGGTATATTTTAGCAAATGAGATCCTTTTTTAAGTAATACTACTTCGGAAACAAGCAATGTAAGTCTTATTTTTGTGGTATACAAATAAGTTATATTATTTACAGTTTTAAGAGCTTTTTAGAGTGAAAGGCAAGTTTTAATACTTTTCCTTGCATTATGAATATGCATCTTGAATATATATCAAACTGTAATTTTTAAAAAGTTCTCCATGTACTGTGTTATAGAACTTAATACAATTTTAAAAACATTATTTTAATATAAGGCAAAATTTTTTTTACTTTTAAAACTAAGCTTTTTGGAATTGATATTGTTTTTGGATGTAAGAATTAAATGTTGTGTCATATAAAAATAAACATTAGATTTTTTAGATGTAGTCCCCCTCCTCTCCCCAAGTTGAATGGGCCTGATCCCCTCTTAAAAAAAAAAACTCCGAGTGCCCATCAGTTGCTTTAGGTGAATTATGGCCACCTTAGTGAAATGCTTAATGTTCATCAGTCATTTCATTTAAAGCGAGATACAGGTCCTTCAAGTTTTATTTTTACTTAGACTTTGTCAGTTATCAACAAGCTTCTAGTTACTGAAGTTCACGAGAATGGAACTTGCATACATTTTCAGTCTTCTCCAGGACTGGACATGCCCATCAGGGGCATTCTGAACCAGTTTATATCCGAAGTTAATTAACAGGTTTTCTTACTGGTTTTAGTTAAACTAGCATAAATAGATAAACTCTTTCTGAAAAGTCCATTGTATTAAATACCTTGAATTAACTAACATTACATTCCAGTAATGGGTACACCTAACTATATCATGGTTTGAGTTTCATTACATTCAGACATTAACTATGAATTCTTAACTTGCAAACTAAATATTGTCGGCATTTTTTCTTAATCGCTGATGTGTACCATACCAAAATTCCCATGTTTTGTTTGTACATTATAATCAGAATTGAGTTGTAATATTGTTATGTGCCTTCACCCAAGCAAAATTTTACATAAGCATTTCCAGTGCAAAAAATTTTGTTAACCTGGAATATTGTACCTTTGATTTATACCAAACAGTATTTATTGCTGATGTAGACATGGAATAAATGGGGTGGGGGGAATTGGGATTAAATATATCCAAGTGAAAAACTTTCTTAAATAAAAAAATTTGCACCTTTAATTACCATCAAAATAAGGTCTATTGACCTTTTTTAGAAGTTTTAAAATATGAGTCCTTTTGAACTATCATGTAAACCTTAAATGGACTAAATGGAATAAGAGTAATTTGGAAGCTGAAGTGAATGTCACTGTTAAGTCTGTATACAAATAAAACAATAATGTGACCTATTATTAAAGTGATGATGAATGGCTTAAAGGGCAAGTTCTTAATTTAACTGGAAACTTAATGATGTTGGCAAGCTGTTAATGTCTGTCCCATCTTAATTTTTTTTTGTTTGAACTGTTGGTAATGTTAATTGCATTCTCTCATATAAAAAATGTATTAGTTTTTCTAAAAGCATTTAATATCTAAGTTCAAATATATAATATTTTAATGAGAATATCAATATTGTGAATTTCAGCATGTAAATACATTGTGCTTCGTATTCTGTAATTTTTGCCTCAATTCTCAGACCACTCTGAGCAAAACAAAAGTAGTTCAGTGTTTTTAATATTATATGCTTTTTACAGAAATAATTTTATTTTCATAGTTATTTTCTTTCGTCTTTCTGTTATCACTTGTTGGGAACAACACTACTCAGCACATTTCTGTTAATGGTTCTGCTTTTGTTTGTGTACTGAAGAGTAATGAAAGGATTTTTAAAAAATACTTTTTATTCATGCTTTTCCTCTGCCTGACACATGACTTGATACATTCTCAAATCATTATCCATTCCTTTGATTAGATTTTTAAGCATCATGTGTGGGGTATAGGTTAAATAATTATACTTTCCTTTGCTATATGATTTCTCTTCTCCTATCATAAATATTATGATCTTAGATTTTGTTGTCATTGTACAAGATTTAGGGTGTTTTGCATTCCTTACTCAGTTTTTTAGCTTTGCATTAATTTGGGAAAAACAAATAAAAAAAGCCCAAAGAATCGAATGTTCTTTTTTAAATGTTAAAATGTTTTATCTCCTTAAGAGTCAGTGTTACTTTGAGTCTTAGGTGAAAATTAAATACTTCTAATTATCTGATAAATGATACTGGTGGTGATGAGATTTAAAAATTATTTCTGCAACTCTTAGGTCATCTGAGATCAGACTAATATTACCCATCCCTGTGTTTATGGTTTCCCCATGTATTCTAACTGCTTCATTTGGATATGCTACCTCTCACTTTTGCTTTAATTTTCCTTGCTTTTAGTATTATTAGCAAAACATGTGAGACTACACAGGTATGTTAATTGCAGTGAGAATAGGGTAGTAAGTGATCCCTAGAATGTATGTGTAGTGTGTTTTGCTCACTGTGGTTTAAGAATATGGTTTTGTTTACAAATAATTAATGTTCTGTTTCTTTAAAAAAAAAATCAGTACCAGTGTGAGTCACTTTGATCTCTCACCTTCATTTCAGTGTAAAATTTGCTACCATTGGTTTAGTTTGTGAATTAGATTGTTTTGAATAAATATTTAATTAAAATGAATAGTTAACATTGTTTAAAAGAAGCCTAATAACCAAAAAAGGAGTAAAGGTGTCATGTATGCTATCCAGATTTACTAATGTAACATGCCTTGGTGGTAGCATGTTTTAACTCTCAACAGTGAAATCTAAATCACAGCTTATTTTGAAATGGCCATTTTGTCATATTTTGGAGCAAAGATGAGTATTCTTTGTGAAGTTTATTTCTGCCATTTAGTGGACTGCCTGGCGCAGCAGTCATGAATTCTATTTCATAGTGTAATAAAATTCTTTAGTTAAAATGAGGTAAGTACTGTCTCTAGAAGTGGAAAGATGAAAGTATAAAATGTTTTGGTAGTAAGGGAGTTTTTTGTAAATATCTACCATAAACAAGATTTTGTGTACTGTGTTCTAGTCAATGCAAGAAGGGATGTTGATTTTAAAAAGAGTTGTATTTAGATACTTCTCTGTCTTCTGCCCACCTCATCTCCATTCCTCTCATCAGGAAATTTTCAGATAAAAAGTGAATTTTATTATACTGAGTTAATAAATTAGAATCCTTCAAATTCAACATATTAATGTGAAAACCTGTAAGAGATCCATATCTAATATATATTTGAATCTTTTACTTGAAAGATGAAGTAACTGATACCAGTAAATTTTCTTGGATAAATTTCTGACAGAAGCATTCATAATTTGAGTTGTTAACGCTGACTTGATCTTAAATTATCTCGGGCTTCCCTGGTAGCTCAGCTGGTAAAGAATCTGCCCGTAACACAGGAGACCCCTGTTTGATCCCTGGGCCGGGACGATCCCTGGAGAAGGATTAGGGCACCCACACCATTGTTCGTGGGCTTATCTCAAAATGCAGGTGCTTCTCTGTATTGAAATTTTAACTTAGTGATCACTTTATATACTCATTAAAGAGCCGTAGATTCCATCTGTCTCAGTTTTTTTACCATGTTTACATAGATCTTCCTATAACTGATAGCTAAAGCAAGACATTGTGTGGCTTTGACATTATAGATTTGACTGCATGGTATTCTGAAAATATGACCACTGAATGTATTTGTTACTTTTAAGCTTCTTTTTTATATCTTTGTTTATGTAGATTTCTGCCTAGAAATTTGAGACTATAATATGGAATTGGGTTATTGGAAATGGGTTGTATTGCCTTCAATTTTGCCTTTTTTTGAGATTGTAAAATTTGTATTTCCAAATGGATACATGTAAAGTGTTTAGAAGTAGAAATAAAAACTGTCAGATT